GACGACGAGAAGACTATAATGTCATCAAGGTAAACAAGGCACTTTTCGTTTTGGATTCCTCCTAGAATTCCGTCTATGACCCTTTGAAAGGTTGCTGGGGCGTTGGTGAGTCCGAAGAGCATTCTCAAAATGGCCATTATCTGTACTAAATACCGTTTTTTCAATGTCCTTTTCACCCATTTGTATTTGATGGAACCCACTAGCCAAATCTCCGGTTGTCAAATCTTGACACTTCGTTACTTCCCTAATTTATCTAGGAGTTCCATGATATTAGGAAGAGGGTATCTATCTGGCAGGGTCTTTGCATTGACGCCTCTGAAGTCAATAAATACTCTCCATTTCTGCTTCCCAGAAGCGTCTGATTTTTTTTGGAACACCCAAACTAACCCAAATAGTTGCAAAACAAGGAGAACTGCTTGAGCGTATAATATTCTGGTCCAGCATTTTTCTTTTTGCGATTCGACCTCTTGCTTATGAATGAATGGGTACCTATATGTTTATATATATACAGGCTGTTCATCTGTCCTTTTTATAGAGTGTTTTAGTTTGCTTGTGAATGTCAATGGCATGTTTTCTTGGTAAAATATGTCCGAAAATTTTCTACATAATCTAATTATTTTGGCCCTCTCTTCTGAGTGAAGGTGATCTGCGCGAATTTGACTATAGTCAAAATTATCAGTAGGTATCGTAATTTGATGCCACAAAATTATTTAAATCAATTTGTTCTATTTCCTCTCTATTATATGGTTCCGCTTCAACTGGTCGTGAACGATCTAATATTGTTGGCTAACATGTATTGTTTAAGATTGTCGTTAAAGCGTATCCATTTTTAGCAATGCTTAGGGAATTCAGAATCTCACAATTATGCATTTTTTGATATGGAATTATAACTTACCCATCAGGTATGCTGGTTTTGATTTTCACTGCCTAGCTGTTCGGTACGTGGTGAGAAAGTGATATGATATACTTGGTTCATGTTCGTTCTTTGGAATTGTAACTTGATTTTTGCAAATGGAGTTACTAAGAATTCTGTTTTATAGTTTATGTAAGCTTATAACATTTTAAGATTATCAAATCCTTTAAGTCTGTCAAAGATATTATGAAATTTAAATAAATAAAATTTCGAAGGTCTCCCATTAGGTAGAATAAAAAAATTTAGAAGCGGAAATTTGGGCCGTGTATTGATGCGCTGATTGTTGGAAAACAGTCGAAACGCTTTATGGCTCATAGCAGTCGTAGCTTATGTGATTTGAAAAGAATTTTTGGGCTAAGTCGGGATCTATGAACGACTTGGTGGAGCCACTATCTATGAGAAATTTGTAATTGCATTCAGGAAAGATGATATAGGACATTTCACGTGCGTTGACGTTCTTGAATGAAATTATTGCAGGTGATTCTAGGGTGCAGGGTTTGTTAGCTCGTTTTCCTGAAAATTTGATTATTCCGAAGTATTAGCTGAGGCGTATTCTACGAGTGCAGCTGACAAACTGACAACTGTAAAGCTTCGGCAGCGACGGATTTAGGATTCCTTCTAGGGGGGGGCGATCCATCAGGGCCTCAGGCTCAGATAAGAAATAATAAAAAAACGACTTAAATATACAGAGTGGCAAAAAAGTCGCGTATAATACCTGTAACTTTCTAATTACCTCGTATACGAAAAAGTGACCTTAATGAAAGTTGCTCAGTAAATTAGGGACATAAAGCTTCCGTATTTTTTGCTCGGTATCCGTATCGGTATCGTACTGCGCATGTGCAGAAGCGATACGGAGGCCGAGATACCGTGTACAACGTAACGTTACGGCCCTCTCGCGGTATCCGTATCGGTAACGTATCTTGACATTCCTGACGCATGTGTCAAATTTTAAATGAATATAACCTCCCTTTTCTTCCGGGTTGATTTAATTTGTTTAGTTTATACTTTCTTGAGTTTCTTGTGTGTTTAGTGCTTCTCTATCGCAAAAAAAATAACAATTTTAAGGTTAGATATAAAAACGCCGAAGTTTTGAGACAAAAATGTCTAGGTTATGAAATGCGTTTACGTTTACCGGAACAGGGAGCGCTTTAACAGCCTTTTCGCTTGTCAACGTATCTAGTTGCGTTACGGATACCGATACCGATGAATTATTTCAAGTAGCTTTATGTCCCTAATATTTCCCACAATTCTACTTAAACGTATTGCCTGTGTCACTTCTGGTTTGTTTGCTATCTAGACCAACTTTCTTTTTTTCAAATAAAACACCCTGTATGTGATTGCATATTTGGATTCTACGTAAAATTCTGAGCAGATTTCATGTGATATACCCTATACCTAAGTTCAACTGTTTTGGAAATATTGACAGTTGAACATTGACTTTTTGCAACTTTGACAGGCTGTAAAACCTGAACGGTTAATTTCAGAGGAAAACCGATTTCACATTCCTATCTTAGATTTTCATAAACTATCATTTGACATCAACATTTAATTTAATCGGAGATTAAATTTAATTGGAATTTTCAATTATAGATTAAATTCAAAGTTGGTGCGGATTTACGTCATCCGCAGTCGATTCGCTCCCAGCTCGCTGCTGCCAAACGTATTTAAAAGTATTAAAAATTTGGAAAAATAGCAAAAACCATATAGAATTTCATGTTGGATAATGCTTGATGAATATGTTTGTGTTTTCGTTAAAAATTTCGTTGTTGCGTCGCTCAATAGGGGGGGGCGCGCGCCCCCCGCGCCCCCCTCTAAATCCGCCACTGAGCTTCGGGAAGGTCTTTGGGACGCATAGACCTTATTGTTGTTCCCAATGGTTCCCTTAAGCTGGATAGGAAAGTTTCAAGGGCAAGATCATTGTATAAGTTTCGCTTTAAATTTTTCGCATTTTGATCAACTTCGTGACTATTTACATGAGAACAAAGCAAGTTTAAAATATGCATAACCCTGTCATAATACTGACTAGGTTTTCCTGTGTTCTGTAATCTCAGCATTACGAGATCTGTATTTCAACATGCCTCGTCCCTTTGATCTGGGAAATGCCTGTTAAATGTTTTTTTCAAATTATCCCAAGCTGTGACATTTTCTGTACCTAGGATCAATTTTGCGTTTCCAGTATTCCAGTTAGTTTTCCGATGATACAATTTATCAAGTAAATATTTTGAAAATGGTTTGGTTGATTTGCATCAGAGAAAATATCAATTAAACTTTGGCATAATGCCAAATAAATATTCAGATCGTTAAAGTTACCATCGAATTGTGGTACGCAATTCAAGTACTCAGGTTGAAATTGAGCCATATCGTTACTTGTATTAATATTATTTGAACCTAAATTATTTTGATTATTAGTGCTTGTATAAGTATCTGCAGCACTGTTATTGGATGTTTGATTAATATTTCTCATAAACTCTTCTGTATCAGAAGGTGAGACAGTTGAAGATAGAGATAGAGATAATGATTTTTCTGTTAACTCATCAATATCAGACATTTAAGAAATTATACATTACACATTGCACTTACATGAAAATTATTCCGTAGAGCAACATTTATAAGGCCAAGAATTTCTGGTAGACTATGTTTATCCTCCTAAATTAAGTGTTGGCTATTTTGGTCCAATACTCCGATTGCTTGAAGCTGATCAAACCGCAAACACTTAATACGATTTTTACACAAGGGCGTAGATTCGAGTTCCCGGTTAGTCGGATTTCCGAAAAGTTCGTGAACCAGTCCCAAAATCAAAAATCCTACCGACTCCGCCAGTTATCAATCCGTAAGCCGATAATGAGTTTTAAAAAAACAATATATTCACTAATTTACAATACAGTACTTTCGCGTAACGCGTTACAAAGGTTTAAGATAAGAAATATTATTATAATCAAGCGAATAGGTAACTATTCTAGGCGAGCAGCGATATTTATATTGAAGAAAAGCGAATTAAGCAGATTAAGTATGGTCAGCAAATAGGGCTGACATTACTTCCGATTTTTTTTCACTGTAGAAATTTTTTCGTCAAGAATATACAAAAAACCACATCAAAACTGGAAAATTTGGAGTGTTTGAGCTACATTCGAAAGTATATATTTAAATATTAAAACACGACTATGAAGCTGATTTGTAAAATTGGGCTTCACTCGTAAGACAGAGTTGTTCGTACTTACTTGGCAGTATCTCAAGTGTTCAGAATCTAGTGTTTTATTTCACGGAACGGTCGAATAATATGGAGCATTATGCGAGACTCATAAGTATGTATGCATCGTCCTCTTGACGTCTTAAGTGCTGCATTTAACAAGCCTGAATGCGTACTCGAGAAAATTTGCCAGGTTTCAAAAGTTTAATCTTTAGCATAGTTCAGTGAACTTCTTTGTTGGTTTTCAAAATGGGTTAAAATTTAAGCTTTTGAAAGTAAATTTCCCATAAGTGCCTAGTTATTCAGATTTTCAAAGGCGATTTTTACGTCGTTGCTTGATATGTATTTACTATTCCATTGTCTTAAGATTTTGCAACGAGAAGCGTAGTAAATTAAGTTTAAGTGAATAAAGACCTATATCCCAAAAGGTTATGGGCACGAATGAGAATTGTGAACATTGGTTCGAAGTAGTATAAGTGAAACAGTTGTCATTATGGACATAAGAAAGAAACGATTTATACACCATTGCAAAAAATACAGTACCTGGAAGTTTCGTGTTAAGTTTTTCTTGGATTTGGTGCCTAAAAATACAGAAAAGTGACTTTATTACGTTTAATAAGAAGATGAGTGGGTGAAAAACTCTCTAACTGGATTTTTTATCAAGCTTCTTCTGTATTTTACCATATTAACTTTTTAAAAAACTGTACCTGTGTTAAAGGAAACGCACAAAAGTACATACAAAAATTGAATCAATTAATTTAGACGTCGCTTAACAATGTATTCATAAATAAAGTTATTATCTAATAACAAATTTAATAGCTCTTATTGTGCCCCAGATTATACTTCCATTATAGATAATTACATTAAAGTAATGTCAGATGCTCTCATACAGGGAAACATCTTGCAAATATTTGCTTTATTTATTATTTAATCTGCAAGCTAATAATTACATTTGTATACTTGTAGTATTAATTAGTCGTATAATGTTAAAAGTAGCCAACGTTGATATATCTCTTTAAATAGAATATAGTTTTAGTGAAATAAATTCCTATTTTGGATTCACCGGAAGAAATGGAATTTAAGGCCACTGAAGCTGAAGGAAAATTGTTGTCAGATGGGATTCAGAAAATTGTAGTTGTGCGACAAGAAAATAAGAATAAACCTTGCGCGCCGGTGGTGTTAAGTGTTGTGGACATTTTTTTGTCAGTTTTTGTAGTAACACCCTTAGTGGTATTTGCTTGGAGAGGATCATGGTTATATATGGATGTACAAGCACAATATTTCCCTTTAATGCCATGTTTTTTTATAGGTAAGAATCTCGGTAAGAATGCTTATAAATATTGCATATGCAATATGTGGCGAAGTAACCTTTTTTAAAATTATTACTTATCATGCAAAAAAAAAACCTAGACCACTTGATAGTACTTATTTTAAGACCAAGGTAAACTTTACATCTGTGTCGATTAGACATAGTAGGTACTTCAATTATTATTGTTTTTGTATTTACTTCAAGGATTATCTTTGCTATATCTGTCTCAAGTGTTGACATTAAAAGGAATGGCGATAACCATTTTAAGACATTCAAACTCTATCTCTAAATTCGCTTTATTCAATAAATACTATAGTACGTATAAACATAAATTTAATTATAATAGCTTATTTCTCAACCAATTTATTCGACGCCTGCTTGCTGCACTATTCGTAGAACTGCTCCAATAAAAATCAATTTAGAATATTGCTTGGAATTATTTGAATAAAACCATCGCGAAATGCATTTAGGTGGTCATAAAATCTCATAACATGATTAAAGCTGATTAAAACTCACTTTTAAGGGTCTTTATATTTGGAATAAGCCGTATAATAGCCCGCAAAACGGCACAATAGACATTCTTAAAGATTAAAGAAAAGGAAATATTACGAACGTTAAATAAAGTGGATTTTTTTTCTAGATAGCGCAAAACCTATTGTAAAATGCTTTTGTGGGTTATCGCCAGCTTTTTATGGAAAGCCCAATTTCGGTAAAGGAAAATTATTACAAAGGGCTCAAGTAAACGTTTTTTTTCTACTAAATAAATTTAGAATTCTTCTTCCTCATGTATTTTTATGTACAGAGTAAGCAATTATAAATGTCAACCAGTCCTAACTTTTCTATTTGACGTTTTTGACAAAAGTGTCAAATACATAGGATTCAGGAAATTGTCATAAGTTTTTAACTAATGGCGTTTCAGATTGGTAGATCTAGTGCGGAACTAGTGCATTTTTTTCTATTTCTGTCTTTTTCTTCTACAGGTCTATTAAGGGGAAGCAAATACACTCAGTGCGCACTGATTCGGAAACGCCATAAGTGAGTTTCAATACACAGGGTGCGTTATAAAAGTGTAGCAGTGCAAAGTTAAACACAATGTATATTGTGCGGTTATTTGATATAGTCCCGTTCAACCTGATTTCAACGATACACGGTTTGATATGTCTATCTTAAATAGTTATAGGGAAAAACATGAAAACTACTTTCAAGGTCTCATATTTAGGAAAGAAAAATTACACTATCAAAGTTCTGGAGATAATTGTTTATAAACAATTTATTGTTCAAGTGTTATTCAATAACTTACAAGGTGAAATATTACAATAAATCCAGATGTCTTAAGATAGGTATTAAAAAAAAATAATAACATGAGACTAACAAAGGGACTTTCGCGTTTTTCCCTATAACTATCAAAGACAAACCAAGAGATAATCATATCAAACCGTACGTCGTTGATATCAGGTTGAAGTATAAGCGCACAAAATACATGGTATTCCATTTGAAAAAATACAACTTCGCTCTGCTATACTTTTTTGACGCACCCTGTATGCTTGAATCTCACTCAGTTAAGAACTTTAGACAATTTCTTAAAACTTTTGTATGTGACACTTCTGTCAAAAACGTCAAATAAAAAAATAGGAGGAGGTGACATACATAATAGATCACCCTGTACCTACTCAATTCTTGTCATCTTGTCACTAATAAAAAACTTTAGCAATGTTTCGGAATATTTATCTAAAAATTTAATTTTTCATTATAGGTATGGCCGTTCACGTGATTCTAGCTCTAAGTCAGGATGTCCTACATGCAGCCATAGTAGAGTCCGATAAACATTGGTCACTCAAAATAGTTTCCCATTTTCTCCGGAGATTTTACACTTACGTATTTTTAAATATAACGGTTTTCCATTGGAGAGGTAAGAAAATATACGGAACAGTTTTTTTTTACTATTAGTGTTCAATACAATTAATACTGTCATGGCTCTGGGGTGCGTGACAGAAATCTTGGGTCCGTTTATTCAAAATCAAAGTCCAATTAACGCAAAAATAATTGATTCCACGTTACTATACACTCTGACACTCAAACAACTAAACTTTTCACAACTCTTAACAATAATCACTATCTAAATCACATCACAGTCAATCTTAAACTTAAAACTCCTGACTGATATCGGCCCTTATATGTCCGTAATCTATTCGTGTAGAATCCAGAATAAACGCGATAGAGTCTTTTCCTGAATGAATCAGTATTTTCTAGATTCCAGGTTGGATTCTCGACACCCTGGCGGATGCGTTGTGACACTGCCCTCCTCTTAAGGTTGATCGTCCCGATCAACTTCCCGCCCATGATATTTCGTCAATCTTTCTACATGTACAACTTTCATCTTACTCCTGGTGTTGCGCTGAACTCGATAAACGAAATCATTGATTCTCTTAATTATTCTGTAGGGTCTTTCCTATGCTGAAGATAACTTCGGCGACACTCCCTTCTTTCTTGCTGGATTATACAGCTACACTAAATCACCTTCTTGATATCCGGCCAAATTGGCTTTCAAGTGGTATCTGGTCTTCATTCGGTCACTGGCCAGCTGGATATGCTCCCGGGCAAAATCATGTATCCCCGGAAGTCGTGCCCTTACTTCGTTGGTATAATCTCGAATTCCTTTTTGTTCTTCTTCAGGTACTCCATCAGATCGCTAGGTAACCTGAGTTCCCTTCCAAAAACGATTCTAGCTGGACTTTCACCTGTAGACTCGTGAACATATGCTCTGTAAGCCGTTAAAAATAGAGGCAAGTGTGTCTCAATCTTGCTGGTTCTGTGAGATCACTTTTGTCAGGTGTTCCTCTATGGTGTTGTTAAAATCGTTCTACCATGCCATCAGACTGTGTATGTAAAGGTGTTGTTCTTGTCTTACGAATTCCCATGATGTCACATATTTTCTTAAAGATAGCAGATTCGAAATTTCGTCCCTGATCTGAATGTAACTCTCGTGGCACACCATGATGACTAAAAACTTCGTCCACTAGCATCTGGGCAATAGTGATGGCTTCTTGATTAGGAATAGCGAAAACTTCTGGCTATTTACTGAAGTAATCCATGATAACCAAGATGTATTTGTTACCACGCTCTGACTCAGGGAACGGTCCGGCAACATCTATCGCTATTCGTTCAAATGAGAAACCGCCGTTGTACTGTTTCATGGGCCCCCGAGATCTCAGTTTAGGGCCTTTACTGGTAGTCTCGCTGGTAGTACACATGTCGCATTTTCGGCAAAAGTTTTTAACGTCTCTATGATAGTGAACCCAGTAAAAACGTTACCAAATTTTGTCCAAAGTCTTGTTAACTCCAAAATATGCCCCTGAAGTTCCATGTAATGTATTTCTTTCAATATATCTCCTACCCGATTTTTTGGAATAACCAGTTGGCTCTTAGTGGATTTTCAATCGGCACTTTCCCAAACTCTTTCAAGTAAATCATTTTCTACGGCCAGATAGCTCCACTGAGCCCACAACGCTTTGTAAATCAAACTCTTGTTCCACACTTCCCCCATTCTGCTCTACATTCATTATTTTCTTTAAGATGTAGAAATTGCCCGATGTCTTGGTGTGCTTCCTGATCTGCTCTCATTTGTTTGGTAGTCCATTTGTTATCAACGATCAGACCCGTTCTTGTCACAGCCGGACCAGTATTTATCTCATGCATATCGATTCTTTGACGAAGCTTCCAGTCTGATTTGCATAGTCGTCTAGACAGAGCGTCACCATTTTCATGAAGATTTCCTGGTCGATGTTTAGGGCTGGCGACTCTAGATCTTCAAAAGCATTAGGAACGATCCCTAGATGGAGAGGACATCCTTAGTCTACAATCCCATTGCATATGTCCAAGCTTATGGCACCGGTAACATTTTACTCGGTTTCTCGGAGTTGGTGTTTGTTTGGAGTCGTTTTCCAGTTGTTCTAGTAATAGTAATAGTTTCTTCGTTTTCTCCATGAACTTTCTCATAACATTCTCGGAGCTACCATTCTCTTTTGACGATTGCTTATTATTTTGGTCTCCAATTTCAATGTCTGACTTAGATGCTGGTAATTCTGTTGGTAGATTGAAGGAATGGACTGAAGAAGATCTAGGGTAGGTCCTGGTAGCGCCACTATCAGTGCTGTTGCTTCTTGATCGTTCTATCCGTTGGTATTTGCAGCAGCTTCAAATTATCGGATATACATGGTCCAGGACGTAGAGCCATCAAAAGTTGATGGTTTTATCTTCATACTAGAGAATGCCCCAACACTACCTGGATTGATGGACTGTATTTCTAATTTATTCACCTTATCTTCAAGTGCTTTAACTGCTCGGACATCGTCTTTAATTTTTCGAACATCGTCTTTAACTTCGGCTTTTACTTCCGTCATCTTTTGTTCTAGGTTAGCGACAAATTCGTGAATGGTTTGAAATATTTTCTGTAGTTGTCCAGGGTCTTCTTGCCGTTCTTTTTGGCGCCTGGCCTCTTCGTCTTGTTTTTCTTGTTGTCGTCTAGCTTCTTCTTCTTGTTTTTCTTTTCGTAACCTGGCCTCTTCGTCTTGTTTTTCTTGTTGTCGTTTAGCCTCTTCTTCTTGCTTCTCTTTTTGTCGCCTAGCCTCTTCGTCTTGTTTTTCTTGTTATCGTCTAGCTTCTTCTTCTTGTTTTTCTTTTCGTCACCTGGCCTCTTCGTCTTGTTTTTCTTGTTGTCGTTTAGCCTCTTCTTCTTGCTTCTCTTTTTGTCGCCTAGCCTCTTCGTCTTGTTTTTCTTGTTATCGTCTAGCTTCTTCTTCTTGTTTTTCTTTTCGTCACCTGGCCTCTTCGTCTTGTTTTTCTTGTTGTCGTTTAGCTTCTTCTTCTTGTTTCTCTTTTTGTCGCCTAGCCTCTTCGTCTTGTTTTTCTTGTTATCGTTTAGCTTCTTCTTGTTGTTTTTCTTTTTGTCGTCTGGCCTCTTCAACTTGTTTTTCTTGGTGTCGTTTGGTCTCTTGAAGCTCCAACATTTTGCGCAGAAGTTCTTCAATTTTTTGTTTTTCCATTTTTGCTTGCTGTCTTGTAATAGCCATATACAGAATATTCAAGAATTTTCCTTAAACTCCTCGAAATTATGAACCTGCATGAAGATTAATGTATCGAATACGTCGGCGAAGTCAGAAATTCGATATCTCCCTTGGTTTCCAAATAGAATTTTCTAGAACTTACTTGAAAATTCACTATCACAGTCAAAATCGGGTATACATAGTTCCTTCCGTCCGAAGTAATTTATACGATCGGTTTTTGGTGATTGTTACTACTTACACTGACTTACTGTCCCAGAATTTTCTTAGTGTCCATACACTAGTGTCCGCAGTAGTCCAGTAGTGCGGTGCAATCGGATTTCACTTTGCAGTCCTCGAATTATATCTCACTTCCGACACCAATGTCACGGCTCTGGAGTGCGTGACAGAAATCTTGGGTTCGTTTATTTAAAATCAAAGTCCAATTAACAATAATTTATTCCACGTTACTATGCACTGTGACACTAATTACTTCAATAATTAACTCAAACAACTAAACTATTTACAATTATTGTTAACAATAATCACTATCTAAATCATATCACAGTCAATCTTAAACTTAAAACTACTAACTGATACCAGCCTTTATATATCCGTAATCTATTTGTGTAGAATCTAGAATAAACGCGATAGAGTCTTTTCCTGAAAGAATCAGTATTTTCTAGATTTTAGGTTGAATTCTCGACACCGTTGGCGGAAGCGCCGTCACTATACTCACTAAAAACTGCAGTGATAGACCTTTGAAATGTTACTCATATAGAATCTTGTCGTGTTCCATAAAACCAAACTTCATGAATCGACCATTCTGAGTTATAAAGGAATAAAAATTGAAATGATTATTGTTATCAATTTCTGACTTGCATCTTTTGAAGGCTATTTTTATTTAATGAATATGCAAATTACTTAAAAAAAAATAGGATGATTGTCGAAAGAAAATACTATACTTCAATTCGGGAAAGGAAGATAACCAATCCAACAAATTCTTCAAGATGCTTGAAGCTTGAAGCTCTTTTATCGACATGTTGCAAATTTTGTTTTCTTCAACTAGTATGCCATTTGAAGTCATCATCATCATCTGTCTATTTTCATCAAACTCTTTATCATCTAGATGTATATTAATTACCAAAAATTGAATTTAAGTATTAATTTTGAATGAGAATTTCATACATCTGTCAAAACTGGTATTCCAACAATAAATTGACATGTTTTGATTGTTGATTTGAACCAATCCGATTGTAACTACGCGATAATTTGCACTAGTGCAAATTATCAGATAATTGCATACTAACTGGTGCGAAAACTGGTGTTTTGTAATTTTTTGACAAAAAATTTAAATTTTTGATTTATGAAATTCTCTCATTAAATACAACTCGTGCAATGGAAATATATTTATAATTTTGGACAAATTTGCACTCATGCGTTTTTAACTGAAAAAGGCACTCGTGCACTACGTGCAATCGTGCTCTTTTCAACTAAAAATGCATTCGGGCAAATTTCCCAAAAATTATAAATAATTTCCATTGCACTAGTTATATTACTATTATTTTGTGACCCAATGTTTTCAATGTAGGAAAATTGTTGGATGGGGTCAAACTAAAACAGAAACCTGTTCACTTATATGTCGACGTTTCGACTTATATGAAGTCATCCTCAGGACACTAAAAAGAGAATACAGGTGTTATTACGTATTTCTTAAAGCATATAACATCTTGGCTTCGTATTTTTAAATTCAAAACACAATAAAGACAATAATCAAACAAACAATATAGAACAATAACAAGTTTAGTGAAAATTATAATAAAAAGTTGTTGAAACCCGTCAGAAACCTGATTTAAAAAAAAAAAACACATCACACCAACTTACCTAAGTCTAGGTTTCTTTGGTTGAAACCTTAATAAATAGATACATTTAAAAGGAGCATAAGTGTGTAGGTAGTGTAGGTATATACATGGACAATCACCAATCAACAACTAAATCAGAACGATCGATCCTCTTTTGTGTGTTTTTTTTAGTTATATGTTTTTTTTACATTTAACCGAAAAATGAGCAAGTCAGTTCTTCTAAGCAAAAACTAAATATAATTAATAACCTCAAATCTCGTGCAAGAGCACTATCACACAAGAATGTCTTACTCAAAAATAATTATCTGCACAAACTGCTCAACAAAATTCTCTATAATCCGATTAGCTAATGATAATCAGTCAATTGTAAACTCGGAAAAAAAAATATTTCAAAATTCCTTATATTAAGGGCTTATCTGAGAGAGTGGCAGGTGTAATCTCGGATCACTCGGATGAAAATTCGAGAGTGGCTTTCAAAAGGAAAAATTGATCGTTCTGATTTAGTTGTTGATTGGTGATTGTCCATGTATACACCTACGTCTTAAGTATTCACTTATGTTCCTTTTAAATGTATCTATTTATTAAGATTTGAACCAAAGAAACCTAGACTTACGTAAGTTGGTGTAATGTGTTTTTTTTTTTAAATCAGTTTCCTGAATGGTATCAACAACTTTTTATTATAATTTTTATCTGCTAAACTTGGTAGGTATTGTTCTATATTGTTTGTTTGATTATTGTTTTTATTTTTCTTTGAATTTAAAAATACAAAGCCAAGATGTTATATGTTTTAAGAAATACGTAATAATACCTGTATTCCCTTCTTAGTATATAATAATACTATTATTTTTTACTATTTCAATAATTTTTATTATATTATCTTTATGAATAGATCAATTTTTATATTTGATTTTAATCGTCCCGAGGATGACTTAATATAGTCGAAACGTCGACATACAAGTAAACAGGTTTATATTTTAATTTTGACCTCATCCAACAATTTTCCTACATTAAGTATTAATATTGATTTTTTTTATTATATAAGGTGGTTGGGGCTTAATAGACAGTTACCTGCACATCCAGTTCACCAAAGATTCAGTTGCGGAAAAAGAAGGCATTCACTGGTTCCTGATGATATGGGTAGCATGTTTTATCACCCTTATTGTCATTAAGGGTCTCAGGAATGCAATTGCCCCTCCATTTGCAATATGCATCGATAAGGGAAATTATGTTTTCAAATTTCCCACCATGTTCAAAAGAACTGTAAGAAATGCTTGATTCTCAAATAAGTTGATGGTTTTAATATTAAACTGTTTTAGAATAAACAAAGTTCGCTTCTAGCCATCCTAGATTGTTTTTTTTCGGTTGGAGTGATGGGCAATTTGGTAGTTACCCTTTGGAGAGGGCTGTGGGTGCTTATAGACCTGATCCTGTTGCCTGATAATTTTATTTGGTCCAGTTGGTCAAGTTTGGTAAGTAAACAGTATCTGACATACAATTTAAATTAAAGCTATAACCTCCCTCCTTTGCGGCTTCACCCATTCTGTCTTATTTTATTTCATCATTTTTGCATAGAATTTCAATCTCATATTGCAAACTGATAGTTTGTAAGTTTTGCAAATTAATTTTTTTTTAATCATGAATTTAAATTCAGACGAACTGCTTATAATAGATTTCTGTTCAAGAAATTGGGAACTAATCAAGTTCTCTCGTACCCTTCTATAATATGGGTTTGTTGTATGCTGTTCATTCTCGAGCGATGTTCTTCACTTGTGAACCTGCTAACCTAGCTTATCCTAGGTATTCATCTTTTCTACACTTCTAAAATGCTGCTAGCTTCTCCAGTGCAGTTTCAGCTAGTGGCCAAGATACTTCACCGTTGAGATTACGGTAAAAATGCTAAATAAACAGGTAAAGCATCGTATTGGCTATACTGCCCTTATTTTGGTTACCAAAAACTTTGCAAAAACAAAACATCTTCACTTTTCTACGCCATGTTCCTACTCTTCGCCTGCTCGAAGATTTTCCGTATCAAGGCTTTAGCTCTGTATCTGTAAGTTTGGGAGGGTGGCTACACAACAGTAGGCCCATTGTGCGCCTCTACAAGAGGAGATGTTATCCTTATATCGTCATCTAACCTAGCTATTTAACGTAGGCGATGACGTCCTCTGATCTTTTTGATGGATGGATACGATTGGCCTAATCGGGCTCTGCGTATTGCCAAAACAGCGGGGCAGTCACAAAAAACGTTCTCTACCGCCTCTACTTCCTAATTACAAGCCCTACACAAGGTTGTGGTGCTAAGATGCAACCTGAATAAATGTGTGTTGCAGCCAAACGTATCGTCTCAGCGGTCTCTGAGAAGGGAGTGGAAGGATTCTCTGATCATATCTATGGCCGCCGACATGGTCAGCCCCATGAAGGTCCAAAAGGCTGTAGCCTGGCGGTTCTCCTAGTCAGAGCATTGGCTGCACAATTGCCTGTGCTGAGATCACGTCCCTCGATCCAGATGACTATCACCGTTTTTTTTATCGACGCCTCTGCGAGGTTACGGTGGTTATGTTGTACTAGGTCTGGCGTGAGTCGCCAGTGCTCCTAACTTTTGGCTTCTTTGTTGTTAGTGTACTTACCATGCATATAGCTGATGCGCTTTAAGAATGCGAGACTGCAAAGCTCCACGAGCTATTTTCAACTACACAGAGTTATGGATCACAGAGTTATGGATCAGATGCATGAGACGGCTCCTCGGGACTATGCGACCTTTTACAGGGAGTATCCGTTCTGGCTACAGACATCGGAGTTCCTAGATGGAGATTAACTCTTGAATTCGCCAGTGATGATGGTGGTTGAAGTTCTTGCTTGTGGCTATTTCTCCATGGTCTCTACCAGATAATATGCCAGTTATGGTAATTAGGCTTATGGATCCTAATCTAGACTCTTATTTTCTCAATCTCTATAGGATGTATCTCAATCTCTTCATGGAACGTTCTTTGCTCGTTTTAGATAATCATGCGACTCAAATAGCACTATTTGGATGTATATAACAGAATGTTTACTTGATTAAGCGCAATGTATTGGTACGAGATGCTTTTTACATCGTTTGTTCTGAGCTTCTGCAGTTGGGATATCGAGTTGATGCTCTTTTAATAGACCTGGAAAGAGCTCTCAATCCGTTGACGTTCTGGGCGATAATCTTATTTCATTGGTCAATCCTTGCGTTGCATAGTTCCCTACTTAGAACTGCTGGCAACAAAATTTTCAATCATTCAACAATTTCTTTTTGGTTGGATGCCACTTCAGGGGCAATCGGAGCCTTCAGGGCTACTCTCTGTGGCTGAGCTAAAGTTGAAACTGCAGGTTGGATTTATTATCTTGCCGCTCTTCTGGTGTGGTCGCAAGCAGTCTTGGCCTGAAGAAAAGAACGTCGTTGTCTCGTTCTAGGTAACTCAATGTGCAAAAAAACTGATGTTATTCCTATTGCGTTCAATCCTCATTTTTAGACGGGGCATTCTTTGTCCCACACCATATGCTTACGCTGGTCGCGTCTCATGGTCATTCTGGTGCAGTTCGGGCAATGCAGCTCTTCGTTACCATCCCTCCTTTCGCGATCTTCGCCACATCTCATGCAAGTGCTCCTCTCCTTACAGAACTTGGCGACGTACCCGAATCTGCAGCATTGGTAGTACATGGACAGGTTGAGGTATTCGTCCACGTGAAAAACATATGTCAGGTCCAACTTCACTTGCCGGCTCTTATGAGGAAACGTGCTGGCATCGCAAATAATCTCTTCACCCAGCAGGGCTTTTCCACTACAGACAGTCGAACCATGGGTCTTATTTCCGCCGTTGTTCTAAGATTGCTGACTTCGTTTTCCTACGGGATTCGCCTAATTGCAACCTGTTATGTTTGGCAAGTATAATAGCCCCTCCCTGCCTTGTCGATTTAATAGCCTACACTTCCTTTATGCTTCTAGCCAGTAGGGGTTTCCTTATTTCCCTGACCCTTTTTTGTGCTTCTTGCCTGGACTCACTCTCTCTTCGACGTATAATGACTCCAAAATCAGTGTTTGTCTCCTTAGGTTCTGGGGTGACCCATCCCGATCCGGATACCGTCTCTCTAGTCTTGTTACTTCTTTCTCTTCGCTCTTCCCTCATTTTTTCGATTTTGGGCATGTCAGCATAGGCCTTTTTCTTCTGTTTGGGCTTAACCGTTCTCCATTCGCTATTGACGTCAGTTGTACAGGGGAAATAATTGCTATTGGAAGGTTTTTTTTTTTTTAATTCCCTCGTATTATGTCAAAATTCATAGGTGTATCCATGCATTGTAAAATTTCGAACAAGATTTGTGGACGGCGGCGAGCAAAAACTCTCTTGTAAATGTCATAATATATCGTTCTGTGTATAACACAGCAGAATTCAATTTCAAGTGCAAAAATGCGCAAACATTATCCACTTATATTGCAAAAGTCTGAAAGATCGTTTTTTTGTAAGAGATGTATCAATTTTTCCGCAACTATGCTAGGGCTAGCGTCTATGTGGTACCAGATTATTATCTAAAATATGTAAATTATACCTCTCTTAAAATTATTGGTATTACGTCTACTTGAATTGTACCTATATAATAAAAAAGCACCGCCGTGGATTTGTTTCTCAAATAAAATTTTATTATAATATATTATGATACCCGCAATAATTAGGATCCAAGTCTAGTCTTGTGTTTGTTAATCAAATAAATAAGGCATCTAATTATGGAACTGTAAATATGCTAATTATAAACTCTAAATTGTTTTATGTTTCAGGTTTTGGGATTGCTTGTTATAGGTCTGGTCTTCAGATTGCAAAACTTCATGAAAAATCTGTGCACCAAAACATCAGGCCTAACTAAAATCGTAATTGCTGACTTTTACATAATTCTATCCTGCATAGCTATCATACTTTACTGGAGAGGCGTTTGGAATGTGACCAATATTTATTTTCTCCCAGGTAATACAGACTCATATAATTGTATATTTTTGATAATCTATAATAAATTTATTGCAGATGATCCTGAATTAAGCGGCATCCTCTCCCATTTTATTGGTTATATGTTCTTGGTAGTACTGGGTTGTTCAAATTCATTGTTGGTTAGAGGGGTTTACATAGATGGGAAAGAACCAAATGGAGAATGTGTCGTCCTCCCTTGTCAGTATTTAAGAATAATTTTCGAACAAGAAGATTCTTGTGAAGAGGAAGAGTCAGATTTGGGAACTATCAAAATGATGAATAGTGTGGAAGTATGACTGATAAATAAAATATAATTTTTTTTCACTTGGACTTCTTTTATTTTTTATTTTTCGTTTATTATAAGGGCTTATTCGAAGCAAACATATAATGATGCCATCAATCATCGAGGTCTATAAAGTAATAGCTCGCATTTAACATAATATATAGGATAAATTATTGTTATTACCTGCTTTAGCTATTTCATAGCTTGTATTCTCATTCATTTATTCAGAAAATTTTGATCGATACAAAACGCAATGATATACCTAAGTAAACGACAGAATAATTTATAGATAATTGCAATAATGTAAATTATGTAGGAAGGCTCTCTGTTTTTGCTATGTTGAGTTCTTTCATGATGAATAGACATTTATATTCAATACATCTTTTAATAAGCTTCACAAATGACCGAAAACAGCGTATAGATTGGGAGGGCGTGACAGGTTTTACCTACTGATTTTATCCCGCATGCCTTTTTAATGGTTGATAATTAACCCAGAAACAATAAGAAAAAATATAATTTTCACTGCCGCTCGAAGCCGCTATATAGGGAAAATCGAATTTTCATTTGTGAAAAACTTTTGTGATTTTTGATGATCTGTAACTGCATGCCATTTAAATATAAGGTGAAACTAACGAATTGAAAGTCTTGTAATAGAAGGCATGCACCCCGCAGTAGCGCAAATGCTTGAAAGAGTCACCTGAAGATGAAAAAAATAATTCTGATTTTTAATGTTTTGAAATTGCATGCCAATGGAAATATTTAATTTTCATCCATATAACAGCCTAAAGAATAAATGGCATGCGCCGCTCGATGGGGAAAATCCGGAAAATTAGCGGAAAATCTTGTGAAAATTTTTAGTATACTTTTGGTGATTGCAAATTGCATGCGATTTGTTAAAATTTTGTCAAAATTTTCACAAGATTTTCCGCTAATTTCCGGATTTCCCCCACCGAGTGGCGCATGCCATTTATTTTTTACGCTGTTATTTAGATGAAAATTGAATATTTCCTTTGGCATGCAATTTCAAAACATTAAAAATCAGCATTATTTTTTTCAACTTCAGGTGACTCTTTGAAGCATTTGTACTACTGCGGGGTGCATGCCTTTCATTACAATACTTTCAATACGTTAGTTTTACCTTATGTTTGAATGGCATGCAGTTACAGATCACGAAAAACCACAAAAAAAATTCACAAATGAAAATTCGATTTTTCCTATATAGCGGTTTCGGGCGGCGGTGAAAATCATATTTTTTCTTACTGTTTCTGGGTTAATTATCAACCATTAAAAAAAGGCATGCGGGATAAAATCAGTAGGTAAAACCTGTCACGCCCTCCCAATCTAGTAGAGAAACCAGTACAAAAACTATAATATCAAATAATGACATCCCCTGTCATCTCCAAACAATACCTTAAAAACCGGCTTAGGAACATGGCAGGGTCATAACAAGTCCTGATAGAACATCTCCCCTTTTATAATAAGAAAAAGGCCTACAGTTTAAGTACCATAGTCCTTTAAATAGAAGGGTCAAGGGTCTCTTAATGTGACGCTTTGGTTTACTAATTCTGAAATTAGCACTTTCATCCTTATTTTTATCACTTGTCATATCATCCGATTGAACTTCGAATTCTGCAACACTTTCACTGGAGCTATTATCTAATTGTTCATCATGTTGAAATTCAAAATTTTGGTTTTGATCAACACGGTGTTCCAATCTAGCGTTAGTGGAATCAACTATATTGGAAAATGATGGTGTATTAGTGACTATATTACATTTATGATCAAAAGGAAGAATAGACTGAGGTCCATCATCAGTTCTTACTATTTCTGGTAAGCCATACCTAGAAAACAGCTCTTGTAACTAACTTAGTGATGATCACATTTTCTGTCATTGACTGGAGCTTCAAAATTTCAAAGAATCTAGAGAAATAATCAAGTACAATGAGGTACCACTTTCCATCATAATTAAATAAGTCAAGTGCAATTTTTTGCCATGCACGATCCGGAAATTAACCATTACATTTTGAAATTTCATGTCTATACTGAAAATAAATAGAAGTTTCTGGATCTATTCTATTTTTCTTAGGCCAACCTAAATGAATATATTGTTTGAGCTTTATACAAAGAGAATCTTTATTTTGCTCTTCTAAAAAATAAGGTTTTACTTCAAAATTTGTAGTTATTAAATTTTTACTAAATGTTTACCTGGAACATAATAAATCTCATAGTCATATCTTAGAAGTCTCAATCTAAATCTCTGAAGACGCGGAGTCAATTCATCGATATTTTTAGTCTGTAGAACTTGTACTAATGGCTTATGATCCGTTTCAATGAACACTTTCAATCCATAAACGTATTCGGATAATTTGTCACATAACCAGGTCAAAGCTTCACGCTTGATTTGTGCTTAACGTTTTTGACAATAACCTGGATGCATAAGAAACGACTTTCTTATTCTTATTTCCTTTTACATCTTCTTGAATAAGACATGAACCGATACCAAATGAAGAAGCATCAACAGAAATTATAATTTTCTGGCTGGGATCAAAATATGCCAGACAAGGACTTTCTCGTGATAAATCTTTAATTTTTTTAAAAGCTCGTTTTTGAGCATGATTCCAAGTAAATGGATTTTTTTTTAATAAAGAAGTTAGGGGATCCAAAACATCAGATCTATTCAGACTGAATCGACACGAAAAATTTGATGACTATTATGAGGTACATCAAATTCGTTGTTTTCAATTTTTTTATGATGGATGTCCATTTAAAAACTATATATTCATATTTAAAAGTAGTAAGAGGTAGGGCACAAAATGACGACGGGAGCTCTATTAGTCACTGTTGTAATACCAAAAGCACTGTAATACCATTCCGTATATGACGCCATCTATGATACATGATAGAAACCTTCATTTAGTTTTCAATCCCAAAAAGGGTGGGTACAAATTTGTGGATACTGTGATAGGTTATGTTTATGGTATTTTATTAGGCAATCCAAATCACGTGATTCAATATGGCAGTGTAGGCCGACATTATTTTGTTTACATTTGATCCTGTGTTAATTGTGTGAATTACTATGAATTTTTGAATCAGTGGTTATTAACGATTCAGTTGATTTTTATTGTTTTCTTTACATTCTTTGAACATTTCTGTGCCTGAGTTTATTAATTTGGTGGTACACTCCACAAGAATGCCCACAAGGTGCCTAAGAAGAGATGATGTAAAATTGTAATTTTAGGTGATTTCTGATCCAGAGACTAAACATTAATTTTCTTCAACCAAGGCCAAATTTACCATCGAAAAAAACTGAATTTAATTCAGCTACTAGATACGTTAACACAACATTTAATAGATATTTAATAATTCAGAGGCGGTACGAAGTTCGCCGGTTCAGCTAGTGTTTGTATAGATGTTGGTTGATATGGTTGATATAGAAACAGAAAAAATTCTACAGGTGCACTCATTGTTGCTTGACTAATTCACTCAATGAACTATAGCTAAAAACTGGAATGCGCACACATTGCCATATCTGCCAAAAAAATGAAGCCATGAAAGACAGATGCCACAAGGGGGAATGTTGTTTTTTTCTGTTGCTCGCTGACATATGACGTTTTCGAAAGTTTTGTCATATTTCCCTTCACAGGTTTCATCGAGTGGAATACGTGTTGGAAGCAATTTTCGCCATTTAACATAATGAGTGCGACAAAAACAGGTATCTCCTCCGCAGCAGCCGCACTAGGCTTCACGTTCGTCCTTATGTGTTAGAATTCCAGTTTTTGGTTATAGTTCATTGATTTCACTGGCAAAATGCCATAGGAATGGCCGGTTTCCTACTGACAAAACCCCTACCTGTTCCTACCTGGACAAAACCAACATGATGATTTTTTGACAGAATTTTGATAGAAATCGCATAGAAATATTCTGACATTTTATAATAAATAAAACTCTTTGCTGTTGGCTTTAGGTACTTAACCCGCGAGTACACGCGTGCCGGTCAAAAAGACCGACTATTGATAAAATCAGTAATTACGCCACAGGTACAAGGGTGACAGTTTTGTCCATCCAGGAATGCCTGATGCAGGTTTTCCACTACCCATTGGCCCAAACATATTTTGGTTTTTGGTTGAAGAAGGGTTCGTTATTTTCATAGTCGGTGCTTTTGACTAGGCGCGTGAACCTGAGTATCTGAAATATTTGTATTCAAAATTGGCATTTTCTGATATTGGGAGTACTTTTGGCTGCCGATAATACGGTAACTGTACTACATAATATAATTCCCTTTGTAATAATTATGAATTCTAGGAATTATAGTGCTTGTACATTTTTTTCGCGGAGACGATCCCAAACGTATCCTGAACGCTAAGGCATGACTTACGCAGGTAATATTTGAAAGTTTCATGTCTCTATTGATTAGCAAACTTGCGTAGGTCATGCCTTATCGTTCAGGATACGTTTTGGATCGTTTCCGCGAAAAAGCTAATAATTCATATAAACTTTTGGGCAGTCGGTCGATTTGACCGAACGCGTGTAACGACGTAATTTTTTTGGCGCGTGTAATGCCGGGTTAATTATTCAGGAAATAATCTAGCCGTATACCACTCGACCTATAAATTTAAATGGATTAAACTATCCGAATATTTTTTGCATAATTTGGCGTTTTGGCAAATAGTTTCAAGCACAATAACTTTTAAATAAAATTTTTATCAAGTTCCACTATTTTCCAAGCAAAATCATGCTCAAAATATGTTGGATAGTTTAATCGATTAAATTTAAAGCTCTTGTGATATAATATATGACAATGTGTTGTCAGAGTAAAAAACTAGTGAGTTTAACAAGTGTCACCTAAAGAAAATAAATTTTCCGAATTTATCTCAAGTAACCCCAGAAACTGATTTGAAATAGTGCTATTATTCTGAGAACAATTTTTGCAACTTGGACTAATATTAGGATCAATATCATCTATAGAGTCAAATTGGATAGATCTAACCCTTTTGCTTCGACAAACAGTCACCAAATGCCCTTGTTTATTACACGAACGGCAGAAAGA